TAATACGGTTTTCTTTCTTAGACACTACTTATTTATATATGCACCTCATTCCTCGTAATTAAATAGCTCATTTGAAATTATAAAGCTGTTTCTTTATTAATTATTTGTTAACTCTATGCATAACAGCTGGATAGAAGAGATTTGGAACATTAGCAGGGCTTCATTCCAGTTGCTATCCTGGAATATCCATGGTGTGTCTCATACTTAAATACAAGAACCAGTGAGGCTCATATCTAGGTTAGTTTATGAAGAACAATTCTCTTGTTCCTTGGTCATGTGCAAATTTACTCTGTTCTACTTGTGATTTCAGTTATGATACGAAGATTTAACTTCTTCTATTTCTTTTTCTTTTTCTTTTCCTCGTTTTAGTAATTTAATGGATCTCTAATTATTAGCTATTTTTTGTTGTACAACAAAGCGTAGGATATTTTCCATCTCTCTACCTTGATGTGATGCTATTCCCATAAAGGAAGAAGTCATGGTCATGGAAGCTCAGATAAAAGTAGTTTGCATTCACCTTATGCATTCTTTATATATGAGTTTTAGAAGCCCTTATAAACTTGCGAGATTCATGGCTAAAGGAAGTAGATGTCTATTTCACTAACCATGATGATCAAAGATTTAGTGGGAACTAAAATTAGCAAACTGTGTGATATCAATATTCGTTACCCTTTTTTTGGCACAAATCCTAAACAAAAGAACCATTAGGAAACTTTCAATATGTGGAATTCTTCTCATAGAATGGGAATGTCCTAAAATGAATAAGCATGGTGCTGTTTTTGTTTTTGTTTATACTTTTATTACTTCCCAGTTGCCAATTTCATGGCTGTCTTATAAATTATAAATATGCAGTGATGTGTTGTGAACTATTCTCAGGGCGGTGAAAAGGTAATAGCCAGAGAAGAGGAGTCGGCTCCAGTAGGGGCAGTTTAGATCTTTCTGGGTTGAATGGAGCGCTAAAACTAGAGAAACCATGCAGTGGATCAAAATAAAGGTAAATATTTTAGCACAAGCATTCATCTGTCATCTTTTTAATCTGATGCATATGCTAGTTGTTTGTTAGACATTGTTAAAATTGTTGTTTCTTTAGGATATGATGATCTGTTTGAAATCTCTTTGGGCTAAGGCGCATGGTTTCTATAAAAATATTTCTTTATCTAGTTTATACAGATATTGGTTGTCTGTTCTCTATTGAGTTCAATTTATGCCTTGGTCTATCTTCTCCGCTTTCTTTTTCTTATTTTTCCGTGGGGACAGATAGTCCTCTAATGTACTTTTCCTCATCTCAAAGAAATTGCTGTTGTCTCTTTGATTGGGCATCAATATCAAAATGACACTACGATGGTACTAGAAAAATGTAAAAACGATAACACTCTCGAACATGATTTCTGCTAGGAACTCACGTCATTGTCTGAAGTGGACTTTCCTAACTTCTACTATAATAAACTATTGCAGGGTCAAAAAATGATAACGTGACTGAAAATTTAGCCTGCATGTAAAAATGATTTCCCCCCACATGCATGTATTTCTGATGTAAGTCCTTTGCAGTGGGTTTAAGCAACTGCCAACTGTTGCCGTAACTTCAATAATGAAAATTACACCCTCAAAGTTTATGCTTATTTTATTCATCAACAATCTCAGTCTATGGTACCTGCTTTTAGAAATTTCTGACGTGACCTTTTGCTTGATAGGCAGATGTTACTTATCTAAGAACGCAGGCCAGTCTAGTATGCTTCAGAGTTTGTTGCCTACTTTGTTTGCTCTCCACGCTCTCCGCCCATGTTAACCGATTCAATCATTTAACAGATGTTGAAGGTATTGTTGATTGGGAACCGGCTAGCTTCGATATGGGAAACCCGGGTAGGTTTCAGATAACTTGTTTGTTGCCAATAATGAAAATACAACGACTCCCGGATACAAGTAGTATATTCAGTAAAATTTATGAAATATACTATATTATCGTATACCCTTTTGTGCAGAGTAATTTCTTTTATATATGAAATTCACCATTCACAAATTTCACAACGTATATCAGAACAATCTTTTTGCGAAGATGATGTAGGGGGTGTTGTTTTAGCAAGTTTCAGTCTCAGTAAATCTTGTGTTTTCAACTTTTGCTGAATTCTTGAGCCTTCTCTTTGTTTCCAAATCTAGGGATTTGGAGATAGAGATAGATAGAGAGAGAGATGTAGAAAGCAATATGTACAAGAAAATGTTATATTCCACTGGTATAATGTAAAAATTGACATAATATATCTCTGTACTTTAAAATTAGAGGCCATTCCTTCAATTATTAAAATCTGGTAGGTTAAATTAAAAAAAAAATCTAAATGCTACAGACTTTCATAAACTTCAAAATGTGAAATTTTTATTATAAAATTAGATTATATAATAATTAATAGATAGTATTTGACATACATAAAATATATAAATAGATAATCAATACACTGTTAATATTAATGATAATTAAATAATTATTAGAATTTTTAAACAAGTTTAATTCCAACAAAATTTAATCAAACAAAACTAAATATATAAATTTTTGCTGCAAATGTTCTTGATAGTCGTTACATTTTTCTTAAAATTATTATTATTATTGATAATAAAGATAATGATGAGAATATATAATAGATAATAAATAATATATTAAATAAGTTGACGACTTCACCTACAACTCTACATGCTTCAATATTCCTATACGCATTTTCATAACTCTCACTGGAACGGCTTCCGGCCGAGAAGAAAAAGAAAAAGAAAACAAAAATAAATGGCCTTCTTAGACATTATCAGAGGCTTTGTTTGATATTTCTACAAACTGGAGCCAACTGGGTGACTTATTCTGCTGATAAATTCGAGGCTACAAATATCACAACCAAACAGGTACTTGTGTATTTGTCATGTCTTCCTGGCCGGTTTGTTCACTTGATCACTCGTTAATTCTTTTTACATATATATATATATATATATGGACACACACACACACACATATAAATATATATAACTAATAAGACTTGGGGTCGTGGTTAGGAAATCAGAAGGGAAACAGAAGGCTGGAGTTATGGAATTTCCCGGCGGTGATAGTCGTTTGCTTTTCGTTTCCGCCTGCGTCCTCGCCGGGCTAATTGCAGCGGCTGCAGGAGCTGATATTTTTCAGGAGTGGCATGTTCGGTTTGATTCAAACATAAGGCCTATCTCTGCTTATCAATCGGTCAGTCAGCTTTCTTAAAAACTGTTCTTAAATCATAATTTATATA